GCGGGACGGGCCGAAGCCCCATGGGGGGAGTTCTTTTGGAAATTGCACGCCAGGCACCCCTTTGCTAAAGCAAAAGGGGGCGGCGGATCTAGTGGCCTTCGGACCAACCCGCCACCGTGCCTGGGTTGTGGGTCAGGAGCCTCTTCGATGAATATGAGGGTCTCTTGGGATGCTTATCGGGGGACTCTTGGAGGGCTCTTGTGTGCATTTAGGAGGCTTTCTGAGCCTTTGGGAAGCCTCTTGGGGCCTTCTGGGGGCGCCTCGGGGGCCCCTGGGGGGTTCTTGGGGCCATCTTGAGGAGAAGGCTCGAAACTTCATTTCGTATTCCCCCTCTTAGGCTCTTTTGGGGCCAGCTTGTGGTTCTCTTGAGCCGTCTTGGGGGCCCCTGGGGCCGTCTCAGGGCCCTCTTGGGCCGTCTTGGGGCCCTCTTGGGGGCCTCATCGGCCGTCTTCTGACGATCTTGGGGGTCCCTTGGGAGGTCTTAGAAGCTGTCAAGACGGAAAAGGCGAGCGTGCTAGAAATGTAAGTTGTCCTAGGGCAATGGGGCGATGTTGCCTCTTGGGGCCTTCTCGGCGGCCCTCTCGGAATACGCCGTCTTGGGGGCCTTGTGGGCCGTCTTGACGTCATCTTGGGTCGTCGTGGGGCTACTCTAGGCCGTCTCGATGCTCTCTTCGACTGCCCTGGCGCTCTGTCCGGGGCCCTCTCGGAGCTTTTCGGAGCCTCCGGAGGCCCCGTGGGTGCGCCGGCGAGCCCGTGCCCACACCCTGCCCCCCCACCTCCTCCTCCTCCTCCTCCTCCTCCTCCTCCTCCTCCTCCTCCTCCTCCTCCTCCGGAAAAGCGGGAGGGGACAGCCAACTGTGTCGCACGCTTTGTCACCCCCGGCAGGCGGGGGTCGGCGGATTTGCCATCGGGTTCATGAGCTTCCTGCCCGATCGAGCGCCCGAGTCCTGCTTCGCCTTCTCCAGTGTTGCGTCGCGAGGCCCTCATGCAACACTGTGGTGCGGCACGCGGACAGTAAGATCACAATTGACCATGACGTCAATGTGTTACGAGCTTAGACATGTCTTCCAACCGTTCACGCTTCAAGCACGTCTTAGACATGTTTTACCATGAGTGCCCATTTGCTAGCACCGCACACGTGCGTGCACTCCTTTCGGACAGCATTCGTTCCTCAGATTCCTCTTCATCCTCATACCCTCCCCTCTTGTCCTTTGGTCCTCTCATCTGTTCTCTTGTCTCTCCTCTCCTCCCTTCCCCCCGTTTCTTTTCTCATATGGGGCGACATTGTCAACATCTTGGGGCCGCTGGGGGCCACATTAGGGCAGTCGTGGGCAACCCCTGCGGCTCTGGGATCCGTCTTGATGCGATCTTGGGACATCCCAAGAGCAGAACACGGGACAGGTATCAAATACAGCATGGGAATATTTATCAAGGCGCCCAATGTATGTTGCTATCCCGAGAGCGTCTTGGGGCCCTCCTGGGCCATCTTGGGGACATTTGGGAGTTATCTTCGGCAATATTGCGCTCGCGAGGCTCTCTTCGGGGCCACTTGGAGCCTTCCTGGAGGCCTCTTGGGTTGTCTGTGCTGTTTGGTGGCGCCCCTACAGGAAACCTTCAGAACCCGAAGGCGACTGGCAGACTAAAGGATACCCCCCAAGCGTTATTCCCAACCATCCTATGGATTTGGGTCTTCGCGTTGAAGAAGCAGCGCCCCGCGTTTCTCACTCATTCATCCTCCCCCTGCTCCCTCTTCCCATCGTCATCATCATCATCATCAGCAGCAGCATCAGCAGCAGCAGCAGCATCATCATCATCATCGTCATCATCATAATTAACATAAGCATCATCATATCCAGCATCAGCAGCAGCATCATCATCACCATCAGCATCAGCAACAGCATCATCATCATCATCATCATCATCATCATCATCATCATCATCATCATCGTCATCATCATCATCATCATCATAATCATCAATATCAGTATCATCATCATCAGCAGCAGCATCATCATCATCATCATCCGCATCATCGTCATCATCATCCTTATCCGTATCTTCATCATCATCCTCATCATCATCATCGTTATTGTCATCGTCATCGTCGTCATCATCATCGTTTTCAGCATCGTCATCATCAGCATCAGCATCAGCATCATCATTATCAGCATCATCATCAACATTAGCAGCATCATCATCAACAGCATCGTCATAACCATCATAAGCATCATCATCATCAGCATCATCAGAATCTGCCCATGTCAGCACACCCCTCACACATTTTGTGACCCCATAGGGAGCTCCACCGAGTGTCTCTGTGGCGCAGTTCGCATGTGGGCGTGGCACCCCTTTCGGCACACCCCTCACATGTCTCGTGGCCCCATAGAGAGCTCCACCGAGCGCCTCTGTGGCGCAGTTCGCATGTAGGCGTCACGCCCGTTTCGGCGCACCTCTTACGCGTCTCGTGAGCCCACCGGGATCTCCACCGAAGGCCTCAAAGGCACAGTTTTAATGTTGGCGTCACGCCCCTTCCGGCACACCCCTCACACGTCTCGTGGCCCCATGGCGAGCTCCACCAATGGCCACAGGGGCACCATTCGCATGTGGGCGTCACGACCGTTTCAGCACTTCCCTCACACGTTCCGTGGCCCCACAGGGTGCTCCACCGACGGCCCCAGTGACCGGGGCCGCATGTGGGCGTCACGCCCGTTTCGGCGCACCACTCGTACGTCTCGTGGCCCCATAGGGCGCTCCGCCGAAGGCCCCAGGGTCACCGTTTGCATGTGGGCGCCACGCCAGTTTCGGCACACCCCTCACACGCTTCGTGTCCCCGTGGGGAGATCCACCGAAAGCCCCAGAGGCACCGTTCACATGTGGGCGTCGCACCCGTTTCGGCACTTCCCTCGCACGTTTCGTGTCCCCACTGGGAGCTCCACCGAAAGCCCGAGTGGCAGTGGCCGCATGCGCCCCCGCGCCCATTCTGGCTCACCCCTCACTTGCCTCGTGGCTCCATGGGGAGCTCCACCGACAGCAGTACCCACGACGCGGTAATCACAACTGCATGCTGGCCCTTCGCCAGGATGATTTGTTGGTGACGAGGGTCCACCTAGTAGATACTAGAATGGAGGCAAGGCTGGAGAGACAAAAAAACAAGACGGCAGCCCAGCGGGTCTTAGCTGCCCTGAAACGCCCGTGTAGAGACCCAACACGTAACGTGTTTCAAGCGTCTGTGTTAACACGCTGCGCATTGGTTCGGCACGTGTTGGGCCATTTTTTGGCGTCCGTATCGCGCCAGAGCTGCGTGTTCAATCTGAGCTCCGTGTCAACACGCCACAGGCTGCGAGTTGCGTATCGGGGCGGCCAAGCAGCGCGTTCCCCTCTCTGCTGTGCCTTCCCACATTGACAGATCCTCCCTCCTCATCACCATCCGTAGCCTTCTGGCTCAAGCTCGAGTCCCGCAGTTCGCGATGGAGGAGGACGGGGGTGAGCGGAGCGGAGGAGCATGGACGCGGGCTGGGCGCGAGCGCGGGGCTCCACGGCGCTCAGCAGGCATGGCCGGAGGTACGATGTGCGCCGAGGGCCTTCCGGCCTGCCTGCGGGCATCCCGGCGTGCCGGTCAGCCCCCGCGCGGCGCGAGTCGGCCACGCGTAAGAGTGACCTCTCGCCGGAGTGACGCTTGGTGCGGGTCCACAGGGGTCCCCCCAGCATTGGACGGCGCGCTTGGATTGCGTGGACTTGTTCTCCCCCGCGGCCCCCCAACGCCGCGCACCCAAGGTCGCTCTTGCCTAGGGTCACTCTTGCGTGCGGCCGAACGAGCATGTCAGCGCGTCCCGAGCGGCTGATGCACGGCAGCTGGCGCACACCGTTTGGTCGTGCGCGCGCAGCGCGAGTCCCGGCGGTGCCCTGCAGAGCGCGGTGTCGTCGCTGTCGGGCGCCAGTCTGCGCGACATTCGCTCGGGGCACCTTGCGGGCCTCGCATGGGCTTTGGCCACCCTGGCGCTGCGCGACCAGCCTCTCCTCGCAGGTCTGGCGCCACGCGCGACCGCGGCGAGTGGCGACCTGAGCCCGAAGGGCCTGGCTGTCACCTCGTGGTCGTTCGCCGTCCTGAGGTTCGCGCACTGGCCGCTCAGTCAGGCAATTGCCGACGAGGCGATCCCGAAGATAGCGCAGTTCGCACCACCGCACCTGTCCAACACTGCATGGTCTTATGCTGAAGAAGAAAAAACTGCATGAGCATAGAATTTCGGAGCTCCGCGATGATTTCTTTGATCGGCGCTGGGGCCCCCTGGCGGCACCCCCGGCGCCGCCACTGACGCGCTCCGCGCGCCACGGAGGGCTCCAGCGCGGATCCAAAAAAATCCACGCGGACTTCCGAAAGTTTATGTTTATGCCGTTGCTTGTTCCTCTAGAATGCTCGACTGAAGTTCAAGCACGTTCCTTTGAGTAAGGCCATTGCGGCCGCTGTCGTCCGCCGCGGTGCCGAGTTCCGCATCAGCGAGCTTTCGAGCACGGCTTGGGCGTTCGCCGCGCTCGGCTTTCTCGACCGCCCCCTCCTGGCTGCTGTCTCGGCGCAGACGATCGAAAGAGTTCCCACAGGCCCGTTCAAGCCGCAGGACCTCAGCAATACCTCCTGGGCTTTCGCTAAGCTTGGCGTCCAAGACCCTGCGCTGCTCGACGCGATTGCCACGGCGGCGATTGCCACCATCGGAGAGTTTGGAGAGCAGCACATTGCCAATACTGCGTGGGCATGTGCCTCGCTGCGGTGGCGTCACTTGCCATTGCTTGAGTCGCTATCCACGGCCGCGCGCGGCCGCATTGGCAGGTTCCTCACGCAGCAGATTGCGAACACGTCGTGGGCGTTCGCCCACCTGCGATTGCCTGACCTGCCGCTGCTGGACGCGATATCCTGTGCGTCGATGGCGAGGCTTTGCGACTTCGCGCACCAGGAGCTGGCGAATACCGCATGGGCGTTCTCGGAGTTGAGCTATCACAATGCACCGTTCCTTGCTGCCATCACCACCGCTGCCACTGCAAGCATTCGCAACGCCGATGCACAAGGAATCGCTGCTCTTCTGGACGCAGGCGTGCACAGCCAAGAGCTGGAGGGCATGCTGGACAAGTCTGTTGGCCTCCTTCTGCAAGCAGCCCCCTCCTCAGCAGCCGAGTGGCGATGCGCGTCGCCGAGCTTGCTAACGGTTGTGCGCGCAGACAATTTGGGTGCGATTGGGACGGCGAAGTTGCTGAGCGCGTGGCGTCTGGGCGCGGCTGGGGACGAGCTCTGCGGACGCGCCCGCGCAGCCGCGGGCGAAGCGGCGGGCGCTTGGGCGTACTTGGAGTGCGACGTTCAGTGGCCGCCACAGCGCTCTGTGAGGCGTTGCCGCGAGCGCTGGCTTTGCGAGCCCGCCAGCGCCGTGGCCGATCAGCAGTGGTGGGCCCTGGCCTCGCCCCTGAGGGCCTTCCCGCTGGCAGTCCGCGGCGCCGTGGACAGGGCTGCCTGCGCCGAGTTCCAGCTGCTGGCCCGCTTGGCAGCGACGCTCCAGGAGATCGAGGAGGGCGACGACGAGGCCCGCAGCGACGGTGGCGACAGTGCAAGGAGTGCGGACGCCGTGGCCGAGGGCAGAGTCGAGCTCTTCGCCTCCCAGACGCCGTGCCTCTCCTGCGTCGCGGCGATCCGGCAGTTCCAGCTGCTCTTCCCGCGCGTCGCGCTGACCGTGGCCTCCAGCGGCGGGCGCTCGCGGCAGCGAACGCCCATGCAGGGGTCTGACGTCGGTTCTGCAATGTCATCATCAGCAGCAGCATGAGCATCAGCATTGTCATCATCACCATCGCCAGCCTCGCCACCGGCATTTTCTTCGGATCAAGGGCGCGTGCAGCGCACGCGCGGCCGGCAATGGCCCAGGCGCTCGAGCGCCTGCGGGAGGCACTGCGCGCGTGCGAAGGTGGGCTGGTGAGCAGCGGCAGCGCCGACAACGCCAGCTGCGACAGCTTCGTCGAGCGCGGGCCCTGCTTCAGGGCCTGGCGGCGGCTGCGACCTGCGGCGCGCCGCAGCCTCCCCCCCGCAGCGGCCTCTGCCTTCGCCGGCTCGGAGCCCGCGGAGCTGGGGTGCATCGGCCGCTCCCTGCGCTTCGGGCGCCTGCTCTGGTGCCTCGCCAGCGGGGTCCACGCCGCGCCCGAGCACCCGCCCGTGGCGCGGGTGCTGGAGCTCTTCGCCGGCTCCGGCGGCGGCTCCACGCTGCTGCTGGCCCACGGCCTGCAGGCCGCGCGCGGCCCCGAGGGGCGCCGGGCCGGCGCTGCGAGGGCGCGCTGGCTGCTCACGTTCGAGGAGGACTGGCGGAACGTGGCGGCCGCGTGCGCCGTGCTCGGCGCGCGGGGCCTGCGAGCGCAGGGGGCGCACGCGGCGGCGCCCGGCGCCCTGGGGCAGCTGGCGCGGCTGCTGAGCGCGGGAGGCGTGGGGCAGCAAAGCATGGGAGCTTCGTACACCCTGGCAGTTCCGTCTCTGGCAAACACCAGCGTCGATTGGCGCCTGGTAGTCGATGATACAGCGCCGATCCAGCGTCGACCAGCGTCGTTCTAGCGTCGTTCTGGCGTCGACTGGGGACTAGCAGCATCGGTGAGCGTCGACGCGCGAGAGCCAACAAGAGGGTACGGGAGGCTCCCATGAGCTGCCGCAGAAGGGGAAGGGGAGTCTGCGGCCACCTGGATCGTGCACGGGAGACCTGTGCTCAGGAGCTCGGCCTCGGAGGTTGGTGGCAACGCTTCTGCCGGGCCACTCCGTGATCTCTGCAGCGCCGCCGCGGGAATCGACCTGGCGGTGCTGGATCCGAACCACGCGCTCCAGGAGGAGTGGCCAGTCACCGAGGCCGTCTGCTCGCCGCGCTACGTCGCGCTGCACAATGTGAACTTGCCGCTCCACGCCGGCTGGGTGCGCGAGCGGCTGCTCGCCAGCGGGGAGTGGGCCGAGGTGCTCGCGGGAGCGCACGACTCTGCGTGGGATCCCCCAGGCCACCCGGCTGCGCGACGAGCATGGTCGTTGTTGGCGCGGATTCCTTCAGATCTCGAGGGTGATGTTGATGATCATTGTCGTTACTGCCAGCATCACAGTAGTGCCACCGAGTCGACCCCAAGCAGCTCATTCGTGCAACGAGCGTGGAGCCCCATGTGTGTGGAATGGGGAACCCCATGTGTGCCGACCCCGATGCGTTTGGAACCCAATGTGCGGGGAGCCCGATGTACTGATGTGGAGACCCATGCGTTTGGCACCCCGTGTGTGCGTGTGTGGAACACACAGGGCCAGTGGGGTGGGAACAGGAACCCGTACGGATCCATAGGGAGCCAGACCACAGAGATCTGAGCAACAAACCGAAAGAGGGCGGCTCATGGGGCCAGTGCTGCAGCAAGCCGTGAGGATCCAAGGGAAGCTAGAGTATAGGGATCCAAGCAGTCACCGAAAAAGGTGCGGCACACAGGGTTCGTGAAGCAGCCAGCCATATGAATACATGGGTTTCCAGGCCATAGAGATACAATCAGCCACTGGAGAAAGTGCGGCACACTGGTCTGGCGATCGAGAACACAGGCGGGAACCTCTCAGTGCCAGAATTGTTTGAGAAATGACCGTCCTTGTATGTTCGCACGGCATGTAGCCATTTTGTCTCAAGCTTCTTGGTTCAAGCAATGTGGATTTTGAATGGCCACTCGCTCGAGTCTCTCTCATGCCAGCTGTGGCAGGGGGCGCGGCCAAGCCGCGTGCGCGCTTGTGAATTGACGACTGGTTGCTCCATGATGTGTCCTGCTTGGAGGAACGGGAGCCGTTGGATTCGCTGCATGCGGCGGCCCGCTGCTGCCATTCCACAGCGCGCGCCACGACAGACTCGCCCTCTCGAACAGTCGACTACGCACCTCCAAACAAGGGGAGTGAACTCCCATGTTCGACGGCCACGACACGGCACCACAGCGTAGCACGGAATAGGATTGCACCACAGCACCGCACGATACCACCAGATCACGTCTTGCTTCCAAGAGGGTGAGCGCCATGCGGCATGGCACGCCATGGCATGGCACCACGCCAGCTCATAATACAAGAGAAGGGCCACATCGTCGGACCGACTGAGAGTGATAAAGGGTGAATGGGAACGTATTGGCACCAGCGGATGAGAGTGCAGCACTACGCTCTACCACTGATACTACGAACCCGTGTCCACTAGGGGTTCAGGCACACCAGCTGCTCCAGGCGAATCGAGCGCACTTGCACACGTACGTGTCTGTGGATCTTAATGACGCGTAACATCGGAACACGTTCAAGTAGCATGCGGCGGAACACTTTGATGTCGAGGACGCCTGCGGCGTGTCACCACCGCCCGCCTGTGCCCGAGAAGCCTCGGGGCAGCCTAGCTCGGTCTCTGGACTCGTCTGGCCTTTTTTGCGAAAGCACCCTGGGGCCGGCGTGTGGCTCTCTCGGGGTTGGGGCTCTTTTGGGCCGTCTCGGGCACTGTTTGGCCGTCGTGGGGGCCTCTTCGGGCCATACGGCCCTCCTGGTCCGTCCTGGACCCTCGGTATTCCCAGAGCCCTTGGCAGCTGCTTGCACGCCCCTGGGGACTCCCTCCCTGGCTCCACCAGTGGCCTCCTGCCGGGCTCCCTGGAGCATCCTCGGGGCCCCGTGCGCCGACACACGCGAGGTCCTCACCTGTCCAAACTCTCGACTCGGTATTGGGTTCGGCTTCCGATCAAAAACGGGGATCTTATCATCCGAGAACCGTGAAGACGGAGTTCACGTGTTCTTCCGACCGCGACGCCGCAGTTGCCCCTCGAGAGCACCGGACCCGGAGCGCGAAAACGGCCCGAGTAGCCGACCCCGGGCGGCCTCCTTGACAACGTCTGACCGGAAACGCGGGAACGTCTGCGGGCGGCCTCCTTGACGACGCCTCCTGAGGAGGAGGACGAGGAGAGAAGGAAGAGAGCAGACAACAACAGATGGCAGATGAGGGCAGGAAGGTTGCCGTTGCACCTCGTTTCACGCCTGCACTTCATCCCCTCGAGCCCCCCGTCATGCTGCTGGTTTTGTTGATTTTTGCTGCTGCTCCTTCACCATCCGGCTCGCAGGACCGAGACGGCCAAATTACGCTCGCTTGTGCACTTGTGATGCACAGCACGAGGTGGGCTCCTTGAGCCGACCGCCGGCGCCCCCGAGACGGCCCAGGAGTCCTCCGAGGGAGCCGAGAGACGGGCCTCAGGCGGGCTTGGGTTACTCCAGATTTCGTGATAAAGGGAGGGGGGTCTCATTTCGGGGGGGGTCTCTTCCAGGCTATCTTGGAGGGCCTGGGGGGTCTGGGGACGCTGTTTTGGAGGGTTCTCCCACGGGGGAGGTCTGAAATGGCTTGTCTTGGAGGGTCCAGACCCCCTCCCTGTTATTACGAAATCTGGAGTACGCTAACGGCGATGCAGGGAACGGCGATGTAGGTTTCGGTATTGTGGGAGCGCGTGGCTCGTGCTTTCCTGCATTTCGCTGTGTCGATGTCGTTCGATATTCTTGCACACTGGAAATATAGGGAAAGTGTGGACCGCGGTTTCCTACAAGTTGAATCCCAACATCGCCGTTAAGCAACATCGCCGATAGCGCGGCCTTGGTTGGCGCGGAGGACCGTCAAGGACCTGCGGACATTCCATCACGAGCCAGAGGCAAGGCGGCAGACAGGTCGCAAGAAAGTGACAGGCCTCCTGAGCAGCCAAACGTCGCGGCAGCTCTCCAGAATTGAGTCTGGCGCCGACGGAGCATTTCATTGGGTTTGCTGTTGGAAACGTCGCCCGCTGTGCATCTACTCTATCTAGCAGAGTTGATTGCAGCGGTCCTCCCCATGTAGCCGACCTTCCCACAGGCGTTGGTATTGGTCTTGCACACATTGGCGTGCTTGGTCGGGACGTCCGACGAAATCTTGGAGAAGCTGCTCACGCTCGTCGCGTGGTCGAGCAATGAGGTCGGCAGGGATTCAACGCGTCCGCCAGTCTTGTTTGTTTGGATTTGCTCGCCATTCGGGCCGACACAGTCTTCACATACCTTTGGTCGAGGCGCAGGTCGGCAGGTCTGTACCGAATTGGAAAAGCACCAGGATGTCGGCGCGTCGGGAGAGTGGACTTCGAAGTGAGTTGTTTTGTTTTATTCGGAGTTTCGACATTGGGCGGAAAGGGGGGGGGGGATGGGGGGGGGGGTCTGGCTTCAGGCCTCTGCTTAATGCGACTGTTTGCAAGAGTGCTGCCTCTGGGGGAGACTCCACCCGCTCGAAACCGGCGCCAAAACATGAAAAAATCTACTGCAGGTGGGGGAGGGGAGGGGGGGAGGGAGGCCACGCCGCCCGGCAAAACAATGAATGAAAAATCGATCACAAATCCTTCTTTTTGTGCACCAACAAAGGTAGGGAACTACCAGCGACGGCTACTCAAACTCACCATGATCGTTCTGCGGGGGCAGCACAGAGATTTGTGGCGCAGGCTCAAGCCAGAGGTGAAGGAGGCGTTCTACTTGTTCCAGAAGGCGCGCTGCCTCGGAACATTGTCGTCACTATGTCGTTGTGTTTCCTTCGTGCTTTCTCGTTGCATCGCTAGTGTGTCCATTCCTAGTGCAATTCCTACCCATACGTCTCTCCTCCCTCCCCCCGCTTCCTGACCCGATCAATGTGTTTTGATCACTTGCATGCCCGGTCTACTTCACAAGGCACCAAAGCCGTCGCGGGACGACCTTCAGATATTTTGAAGTCAGCAAGCCATCACGTAAGAAACAGCGAATTCACACACGGTAGTAGAAAGTATCGTCTGTTGATGGGCAGCATTGCAATGCAGCCGCGGTGGTACCAAATCCAGCGACGTTGGAATACATTGGATTATTGCCACGTCCTCCGCTTACGCCAGCACATACGTCCAGGGAAACGTCCATTTCAGGCCCTCCTTTCGTGTGCATGAGATCACGACGGTAGCAGATTGTCCACGTGCGTCGAGGTCGAACCGTCGCCGTTGACGATATCAGCCCGCGTTTAAAGCATGTGTGTCGAGACGATCCCAGGGTTGGTACAGTGAGCGGCTTGAATAAGGAACACTTACTTTTCAAAAGGGGCTCGGTCGTTCCTTAGGTTTTACATGCGTTATTTACAGTTCCTTGTGCGTTATCTATTATTCATCGTTCCTTATGCGTTATTCCTTGGGATAAAAAGGGACTTCGTTCCTTATTTATCGTTCCTTCGGTCAGGCCGATGACTGTATCCTCCTAAGGTCTCTGTGATTGAAATGAAGGCACGGATCTTCGTTGGACCCGTTGCGGATTCATGATGGACGCAAGCCCCCTTCTGGTCCCCGGCGAGGCAGGCCCCTGACTCTTTCACGGCCCCTTTTTGCCTCTGTCGTTCTCATTCGTTCTCTCTCTCTCTCTCTCTCTATTTCTTTTCTATCCCTCTCTCTCTCTCTTTTTCTCTCTCTCTCTCTCTCTCTCTCTCTCTCGCTCTTTCTCTCTCTCTCTCTCTCTCTTTCTCTCTTTCCCTCGATGTACATAGGTATATGCATGCATACGTATACAGATTGTGTTTCTCTCGTTGTCTCTCGTTCTCTCTAGTTATATTTCTCTCGGTCTCTCTCTATCTCTCTCTCTCTCTCTCTCTCTCTCCCTCTCTCTCTCTCTGTAACTATTCCTCTCTCTCTCTCTCTTTCTCTCTCCCTCTCTCTCTATTACTCCCTCTCTCTCTCGCCATGTCTCTCACTCTCTCTGTCTCTCTCTCTCTCTTTCTATCGATCCTTCAGTCTCTACATGTACGCGTTTATGTGTATGGCAATGTATATACGTATACGCGCATGTGTGTCAGGCCTTGCAAAAGTAAGGCAAATGAGTATCCGCATCCTTCTACTCGTCCTCATCATCATCCTTGTCCTCCTCCCGTGGAAAAGGTGACGCCCGCTCCTCCTCCTGGTCGTCCTCCTGCTCCATCTCCGCCTCCGCGAAGGATGCCGCACATATGCAGGACACACACACACACAAACACACCCTCGGGGTGGGCACGGCACAGGGCGGGGACTTCAGCATGCCGCAGGGCCCCCATCTCGCACTTGGTGCCGTGCAGCCGGCCCGACACGGGGCGGTGCACACAGGGCCTCGCTCTCAAGGGATCCGAGGACAAGGCATCGCTGCAGGGCTCATTCCATTCGATTTCGATTTCGATTTCGATCGATTCCGATTCTGATTAGATTCGACTTCGGATTCCGATATGGCCTTCGGTTTCTCAACGGAGGCCTCAGTGGCTTGATGTTCACCGATTCGGCTTCTCCCGACTTTGGCTGCCGATCTCCACCGAACCGACTCGTGTCGATCGCCGATCTGACATCGATTCGATTCCGGTCTCTCCTGTCTCTGCCTCGGCGGCCAGTGGCGGAAGAGCGGCGGAGGCTGGCTGACTCGAAGAGATGCAAGTTGTTCTGGACTCGGGGGGTCCCCCTCCTCCTCCCCCTCCTCCTCCCCCTCTCCTCCCCTCCCCCTCCCCCTCCCCCTCCCCCTCCTCCTCCTCCTCCTCCTCCTCCTCCTCCTCCTCCTCCTCCTCCTCCTCCTCCTCCTCCTCCTCCTCCTGGAACGAGCCGCACGGTTGCCTGGCCGCACCGGGGGGACCTGGTCGGGGCGACGCGGGGCGGGGCCCCCGGAAGTCGATGCTCAAGGATCGCGGGGCGCGTCGGGCGGCAGGCGGTGGTTTTCGGGTCCCCGGACGGCCCGGGCGCCCGGAGGGGCGTCGGGCAGGGCCAGCGAAGGCCCAGGAGGCGAGGAGAGGAGAGGAGGGGAGGGAGAGGAGGGCAGAGGAGAGCGAGAGGAGGGGAGAGAAGTGGAGGAAGAGGAGGAGAGAGGGCAGGAGGGGAGGGCAGGAGGGGAGGGGAGCGGAGGAGAAGGGGAGATGAGAGCGACGAGGAAGCGAGGGGAAAGGAAGATTCAGGAGAGGCGGCGAGAGTATAGGATAGGAGGGAGAATGACGATGAAGAGGATGGAAGGGACGGAGCTCAGGAGAAGCAGGAGGAGGAAGACAAGGAAGGGAATGAGGATAATGACGATGAGCAAGAGGTGAAGATGGGAACGAGGAGAAGCACTAGTAAAACTGCAGGGTGGAATCGACAGCAGGGTGGACTGGAGGATAGGAAAACAAAGCCAATGAGGAGCGGAGGGAAGTGTGGAAGACAGGAGAGGAGTGAAGGGTGATAAGAACACAAGTAGACGGGACAGGAGGAAAGATGCTCAACGAACTAAACAGGGGTGAGGCGAGAGAAACAAAGGCAAAGCACAAAATCTGGTGGGATGAGAGCGCAGAGGATGAGAACAGAAGAGGCCGGAAAGAGACACACATCCTTTGTAGGAGGAGACGGATAGGAAATCAAGGGGGATCGGAAATGAGAAGGGGTAGAGGGAGCATAAAATGGACAGACGGAAAGGAGTATGTAGTTGCCTGCGGCAGGTCTCGCCACCGTGCCTTGCTTCTATTTCTTGAGGGGCTCTTACCGAGCCCCCCGAAGAGGCCCCAAGAAGGCCCAGGAACCTCCCCGAAGCCTCGCAGAGACCCCAAGAGTCCCACAGAGTGTCCCGACAGCCCACGAAGTCGTCTTTTAAAATTGGTTGCTCGTATGTTCAGGTTGGAAAGGCGAATTGGGGTGGGAACGTGTTCCCCTGGGTGTTGCGCTCAATCTACCAAGGGACTGCGTCTACCCATGCGAGCTTCACACGACAGCTTGGGGAAACTACCACCACCAACAACTTCTCAAGCCATCAGTTTGTCAGTATGCGCGCCACCGTGCCTCGGTATTTTTTGGGGGGCGTTCGAACGTCGACCAGCTATGTGGTAGGGTGTTTACAGCATTCAGGGGTTGACCCCCCGACGGCACATGCAATTCGTGAAACAACCCCCTGAATTTGGCTCTCTGGCGCTCTTACTGGCCCGAAGAAGGCCCCAGCACGGCCCTCAAGCGGCACCCAAAGAGTCTTGCAGCAAGGCGCTTCGAGGCCAAGAAACATGAGACATCCTCAGCAATGATATGTTGTTGACTGCCAAGTTGTTCGGCTTGCGATGGCCTTGTGATAGCTTCCGAGGGCCACAAGATGGCCCCAGACGAATTCAAAACGCCCTCAACATTGCCCAAGACGGCCACGCCCCAAGAGGGCTCCAAGAAAGCCCAAAGACCGTCCAAAAGAGCGTCAAGCAAGCAAAATACGCATGTGCTAAATGGCATGGGCCTTCCTGGGGGCCTTTGGAAAAAGGGTGTCGGCCATTTGGGGCCGCCTTGAAGTCCGTCCGGCTAGCTTGGACCATCCTGAGCCATCTTGGCACCGTTTTGGGGCTATTGTACGGGCTGACACGTTGTGATCCGCGCTCTTCGGACGACTTCGGCCCCGCTGAGGTCCGCAGACCCCCCAGGCGCGCCATCTCCCGCGCGGACTAGAAAAACAAGAACAAAACCACACTAGCGACCCACTTCCATGATTGAAAGAACGTGTTCTACCGCTGCGTTCTACCGCTGCTGGCGGAAAACCGAGGGGGGTCACTACCGGTTCGAACCCCTCCCCCCCCCTCCCCTCCGGAAAACCGGGGGGGGGTCACTGCGGGTTCGAACCCCTCCCCCCCCCAGCTCATCATGAAAAGGGGGGGGGGTCACTACCGGTTCGAACCACCCCCCCCCTCGAAAACCGGGGGGGGTCACTACCGGTTCGAACCCCCCCCCCCTCGAAAACCGAGGGGGGTGCGGACAGTGGTGGGGACGGTGGTGGTGGGGACAGTGGCGAGGGGACAGCGGGACAGTGGTGGGGACAGTGGGACAATGGTGGGAACAGTGGGGACAGTGGACAGTGGTGGGGACGGTGGTGGTGGGGACAGTGGTGTGGGGACAGTGGGAGGTGGAAACAGTGGGACAGTGGAGGGTACAGTGGTGGCGGGGACAGTGGTGAAGGCGGTGGCGAGGACAGCGGTGGGACAATGGGACAGAGGTACAGTGGGGACAGTGGTGGGAACAGTGGGGACAGTGGTGGGAACAGTGGGTCAGCTCGGTGGGACAGCGGAGGAGTCAGTGGGACAGTGGGGACAGTGGGGGTAGTCGGCCAGTGGTTGCGGCCGTGGAGAAAGTGGGGAGAGTGGAACCGTGGTGGGAACAGTGGTGGGGACAGTGGGGACAGTGCGACAGAGGTGGGAGCACTGGTGGTGGGGACAGTAGGGACGGTGGTGGAACCAGTGGGGACAGTGGTGGTGAGGACAGTGGCGCTGGGAACAACAGTGGGGGATGTGGCGCGGACGGTGGTAGGGACTGGGAGTCGTTTGCTGGCGGTGAGTGGGGGGGGGGAGGGGTTCGAACCGGTAGTGACCCCCCCCTTCCGGTTTTCGAAGGGGGGGGTGTTCGAACCGGTAGTGACCCCCCCTGGTTTTCGAGGGGGGGGGGGGGGGGGGGTTTCGAAACGGTAGTGACCCCCCCGGTTTTCGAGGGGGGGGGGGGGAGAGGGGTTCGAACCGGTAGTGACCCCCCCCCGGTTTTCGAGGGGGAGGGGGGGGGGTAGGGGTTGGGGGAAAGGGGGGTTGTGCCGGGGGGGGGGGCTCCAGCAGGGGAAAGGGGGATTTTCGGAGGGGGGGGGGGAACCCCGGGTTCCGGAGGAAGAGGGGGGCAATTTTCTAGTAAAGCGGCGGTGGATCACGCTCTCTCCCACGATTTGATACGACGTTGGCCCGGCCCGATGGCCTGGCGAGATTTCAATTTTTCAGGCCGTTAATAAATGACCATCTGCTGACCATGCCGTGCCCACCGAACTGCACCGAAGTTGTGCCGCGTATAGCGCAGATGACGCCACAAGAGAGAGGCGAAATCGTGGTCACCACAATGTAGATTGCGCCAGCGTTCCTAGCCGCCTCATTTTCACGCGTAGGTGTTGAGCAGCTTTGGTGGCTTGTGCGCGGGCGGCCAGGGCAGCTCTAGAGTTGTTGTCCGTCCGAGACCGCAGCGCGTCGCAGAGCCCGTTCGACACATACGTGAGACAGTGGCAATGCCAGGTGCATGGATGCCAAGTTTGTGACAAACTGGCGTTGACCACGTGGAACTCTGGAAATGCATCCGACTCGCATCGGTGACACATTGACGACGCATGTTGGCCTGAACTTGACGACTCATCGATGATGTATCCGCACATGTTCTGATGCCAGTGGGTTTTCGTGGCATGAGTGTAGGTATGGAAGGTAAACGCAAACGGTCGACTCAAAGTGTCCAGGCGATTATTTGTCACATTCATATGATTAGTTTGATGGTTAGAGTGCGTCGGAGGTTCCAGTGGCTGTCACTACGAACGAGTCGCGCTGGATGGTGGAGGTCAGATACACATTGAAGAAGATGAACATCCAGTGTGAGTTGAGCTCGGTCGTCGATGACCAGGCCGGCTCTATCTGCATCATTGCTTCCATGATCACAACGTCTGCCAAGGTTGGCCGCGAGGAGTCATCCGCCTTGGCGCGTCACTTGGCGAGAATAGTTTGATGTAGCTCCGTGCTGTTTACAAAACCTGGGACAGCAAAGGGGTCCCACGACTTGAGTACCTTTCCTGCTCGAGAGTTCAGCCCTGCTGCGAAAGATGTTGTTTCTGGGCGAGGGGGGGGTCCTGTGAAATCTCAGCGGATCGAGACGGCGGGCGAGGGGACGATCCTACCAGACATGATTTAAAGATTCGCCGACACCGGGGTCCGATGTCTTACAGGGTGTGGTTTCATCCTTGAGCTCGACCACAATGGGCGAACGGCTGCTCCGCAGACCCGCCGAGACAGGGCGGCACGGAGGACTGGCAGGAACCAGCTGGAGGACGAGGGGGGGGGGGGGGCAAGTTGGGTGGGAGGGGAGAAGAGAGGAGGAAGTGTGGAGGGAGAACGGAGTGAAGGGGTAGAGAGGGAGGGAGAAGGAGAGGAGGGAGTAGGGAGGGAGGAACGTAGGGAAGAGGTAGAGAAAAAGGGAGGCGCGAGGGAGAAGGGAGAAGGGAGGAGGAAGTAGGGAGGGAGGGAGCAGGGAGGAATGGAGTAGGGAGGGGGGGGGAAGGGAGGGAGGGGGCAGGGAGGGAGTGAAGGGGGGAAGGGAGAAGGTTGCTCCCCGCCTCACTCCTCCCAGTCCCGATATCTGCTTTCCATTGGCGCAGTCGTGTGACTGTCGCACCACCACCCTCGCTATGTGATGCGCGGCGCGCGGGCGGGGAAACACCAGCCCTCGGCAGCCTGAGCCGAGGGATGCCTGATGACGGACCGGGTGAGGAGGGAGCCAACTGGGACGTTTGGGAGACATTTGCAGGAAGAGGGAGTAAGGAGGGGGGGAGAAGGAAGGAGAGAGTAGGGAGTGAGAGAGTAGGGATAGGGTCGAGGAGGCAAGCCTGCAGTGATCGGCACCGACATCCGGAAGTAATAGTTGCTCGACGCAGGCGCCGAACAACGGCCGCTCCCGGGGAGGAGGGAGGAGGAGGAGGAGGAGGAGGAGGAGGAGGAGGAGGAGG